TGGGGGCGGGGGGGGGGGGGTGGCACCCTACAGATGTAAATGTACAGATACTTGCATAAAACAACACCAAAAAGCTGTGGTAAAAGTACTGATTCACCTCCTTTTAGTTAAAGTCAACTAAGTACAAACTGAAATGTATTACAAGTACAAAATAATTTTTTTTTGCTGTCAATCAAACAAGTACGAGTAGCACCAAAAATGCTTGGGGCATTTCTAATTTATTCATTGAGCTAATTTGGTACACCTATTAACCACAAATGCTGTTTAATATTATTTCAGGCTATCATTAGGCATACTACAAATTATGTGCCCAAATCAATTAGACTCTGTGTGCGCCAAAATCAATGAAGAACTTCGCAGCGCTGCGAGCATCTCCCTTTGTTAAGTGCTGCGTTTCCATATTTTTGCAGAATTGCCCTTGTCTTCCATCTGTATTTTCACCATAAAAAAATCAATAGCTTCTCTGCTGAGCCAGTGGAAACACAATACAATAGTTTGGTAGTTGAGGACAGAAGGAAGGTCACCGTGGCAGGCGATCAAGTGAAAACGCCACATGCTGTTAAATAGAATCTGTTTCAAGAGAGGGGGGGGGGGGCACGTTGTTGGTCGAGCAGCATGCTGATGTATGTGCTGACAATAAAATAAAGAGATAAAGTCTTGGGAGCCTTAAAGAGTTCCAACATTTTACAAAAGAGTTTTCTTCCGGGCAAAAAAAATTACCACTTAAGTATTATAAATAAAACCAGCAGGGAGATTTATATGTATATATATATATATATATATATATACACAGACTGTATTTTCCGCACTATAAGGCGCACCTAAAAGCATTACATTTTCTCAAAAGCTGCCAGTGCGCCTTATAATCCGATGATTTCTTGGACATCCTATTTTAAATATTCTGCAAAGCACATTGTTACAGCTGCAGCGGTTGTGAAAGCGCTATTTAAATAAAGCTGTATTGTATTGTATTCCCTTTAGCGTAGCTCCATCTAGTGGATGCATAATGCAGCCTCAGCCCGGTGCGCCCGAGATATGAAAACAGTTTTAAAATAGGCCATTCATTGAATTCACTGAAAGTGCGCCTTATACTCTCAAGCGTGTTGTTATCGTGCGGAAAATACGGTATATGTGTGCGTGTGTGTGTGTGTGTGTGTGTGCGTGTGTGTGTGTGTGTGTGTGTGTGTGTGTGTGTGTGTGTGTGTTTGTGTGTGTTTCCTGTCCCTGTTTGCTCTCACCTGGTACTGATTGTGCTCCCCCCTGCCCTCACCCCCATCTGTGTCTTGTCACTCCTATATATATATAATGTTATGTTTAGAACCTCGTGTGTCATTCTGTCCTATCACCCGTTCGTTGTACAACGTACCTTGCCATCACTTTCAAGCATTTGCTGTTGACTCAGCTAAGCTCTGACCCTGATTGTTTATTGACCTTGCCTTTTTGCCTCACGTATTTGATACTTTTGCCTTCACTGACCGGCAACTGTTGTCCTCAAACCAACCTGGTTATTCAATTAAACCGTGTGTTTTTGTAGCACCGAGTCTTGCATTTCTGTCTTACCTCTTGAACTGTTCTTGACAGAAAGTGCTGCCATGTTTTTGCACAAATGCGTTGACCTGAACCGAATTTCAGTGGCATAAGTGACTCAAGTGAACCATATCACTTTAGAGAATGACTCACAGTAACCCGAGTCCATAAAATGAAGTGACTTCACCACCACTTGGGCAGAAAGCTTTCATAAATGGTACTGCTATCTTTTTGATATCTTCACAAAAATATGCCTAATATGACTAAATATGAACAATTATTAGTCAATAGAGCTTTTTTAAATTTTGAAAGATAAATCTCAACATCTTTCATGCATTCATACCCTATTCAAAAAAACTGAGCATTGAACGTTTGGAGGAGAAAGAAAAGGAAATTGGGGACATTTTTCTGACAAATGAGACTTTAAGTGATGGAAATCCACAAACCTGAAAGTCTGCTGCTGTGCTAATGGTTCTACAAGGTTGCACAGCACCACTTTTGTTTTTACGTTATAGCTCGCATGCCATGTCACGTTCGCATATCTTGCCATACTGGCACAATAGATTTGACAAGGAATATGTCAAAAGATCTGATCTTATTTTGAAACATTTGCATTAGCCAAGATTATTAATGCAGATTATCTAGTATGTAAATTAGTCACGGCAGTTTAATTAGGATGAACAAGCTTGTGGAATTATATTGGTTTAGACAAAAGAAAAAAATTAAAATAACCCACAAACTGTGATCAGAAAGAAACTTAACTGACTGTGATCTTATCGTCAGGATTGTGTAGCTTTTCAATTATAGAAGCGCCCTGAAATTAATCACTTTTTTTGATAATACGTATAATAGCAGGTGGCCTTTTGTCTAATGTATAATGCAATACCTTCAGGGATGGCACATACTGTTTTTTTAATTAATTTATTTTCATTTTGTGCATTTTTATTCTGTAAATTTGTGTAAAGCTACAAAGTGTCTGCAAAATCTACTTCATGGAGTGTAGCAATACAAAAAATGGCTTTCATTACCATCACAAGTCGGGGCTCAGCTCGGGAGTGGCCTCTTGTTGAGCTCAGTGTCTAATAAACTACTGTAGTGTGAAATAGACAGTGCACTTGAGCTATCAAAATAAATAAATAAAAATTCAAAGCCCGGATTGTGTTTTTACTCCTGGAATCGGCACTTAGTTACTTCCAAGTTACACTTGCCAATTAGTGTGCTGATCCATACCTGTGGCACATGCAGCGGACATATAACCAGTGATTTGAATGGCACTCACTGTATATTGGTGGTGCCATGCATTTGGTACCTGACTCACCTTAATACCACCAATGTCATGTCACAATTATACTGTAGAGAGCCTTATATTAACCAATACTGTACCATCAATGTTGGAGCACTGACTGGAGTACATCTGACTCAATATTCTATTTAATAACTTCACCAAAAAAAAAAAAAAAAAAAAAATCATCCGCATGAGAAATGCTGATTATTAAACATATTGTGTGTCGATAAATGGTCTTTATCACCTCCGCTCCCCTGACGCTGAGCATGGGAGTTCCTCAAGGGTGCGTCTTGAGCCCCCTACCGTATTCCATATACAGCCACCATTGTGTGTCCACACATTATTTGAACTTGGTGGTCAAGTTCACCAATGACACAACAGTTGTTGATTTCAGAAATACAGCATGGCATGGTAGAGTGAGAAGAACAACCCCTTCGGTAAGTGTTACCACAACCTCGGGAATAAGTCATTACAGTTTCATTCAACAAATATTACAATTTGGTTGTAAAAGTAGGGAAGTGCTTCTCACCAGCATGGAAGACCTTGGTGGCTGTAACGGCCCACTTGTGCTTTTTATAATATTTTCCTCCCCCATTTACATATCAGGGTGAGGTAATTGGCATTGAAAACAAAATAAGATGCGGGTCAGTATGCGTGTAAAGCTGAAGAGTGTTGATGTGAGATTTCAATCGACAACACAAGGTTTCCAAGTATCCACATGACAACAAATTCATTTTCTGTCAAATTCTTGTACATCGAATATTTCAATCTGTAAACATTCCATCAAGACTTCAACATTATAGAAGCAACATTCCAGTCACAATCCGTGGCGTTTCCTGCAATTTAGTGAAGGTTCTTAAGAATGGTTTCTTGAATAACACATTTTGTCCTCATCCTTGGCTCTTCACCAGACGGCTAAACAAACTTGATCAACTGTCTGCCAGTGCTGAGTTATTATCGGCGGTATTTTTCATTTGGAGCTGACTTGTGGAGGCTTCTACTCACACTTTAAATCTCAAAACTGTTCATACATCGTTTCATGCAGCGTTTTCATCCTGTGGAGGGTTCGGAGTGAAAGGAAAACGGTTTCAACGTTGTCATACGGCAATTAGCACAAGTGACATGTGAGGAAAAACTCATCCAGGTTTTTATTTCATCACATCTACAGTGGACCAGTGCAGCATTCCTCCTTATTTACCGCAAGGTCTGTGATAGGTCAAAGGAAAACGATTGAAACAAATCTAACAGACGTGTTAAGTCAACTGCTAACAAGGCAACAACATTGCACCTCTCTCTATCTCACACACACACACACACACACACACACACACACACACACACACACACACACACACACACACACATACACAAGCCACACGTACACAAAAGCACACACACATTACCATTCCAAAATACGCATGTATGTTACATTTTTTGAATGATCAGTGTACAAAAAAATATGATGTTAAATCAATTATTAGTAGAGTGCTTTACTGTGCAAACCAAAACATGATGGGATTGTTGGTATAGTAGATCGCTTTCATTTGTGTTTTATTGGTTATTATTATTATTGTTTTCATGTGTAACTTTTTTTTTCTTTTTTTACACATTTTTAATTTAAATTTCAATAAAAGTTGTTTGAATAATGTTGCAGATTCAAGGTTGTTTTGTTTCGCTTTTTGTGACCATAGCATGTGGGTATGGGCATTTATATCGACTTCTTTGATCAACCGTTGGGGGAAAATGAATCAATGAATGAACATTTCAAATACTTTGAATAGAATGGCAAGTACCACTCTGAATATTCTGATTAACTATTTGAGTGCTGGTGTTGTCCTGAGCAGAATTACGCTGTCTGGAGAAGTTACAGTAGCATAGCTTGTCAAGGTCTTCTTCAGGCCTACCACTCCTCGTTGCAGCCAAATAATCTTCTCCATTTTGCCGAAATTGCTTCAAGATTCAATGACATTTTCATCATGGGCCAGAATTCTAACTGTACAATTATTGATTGATGATACTGCTCCACAGCAAATTTTAATCAGAGATTGGTTATATGTGTCCCCCAACGTATTTTTTGCCGCTGATCTAAAAAATGTCTTAATTTTTTTTTTCTAGCACATCAAGTTTTTGAGATTTTTTTTTTTTTTTATAGTTTGACCTATAAAAGCTTGTAAAAGTATTATTATTATTATTATTATGAAAAATGAGGACAGATTTAACACCCAAAAATATAGAGAAAAGTTTACTAATATTATTTTTCCCATCTGTAAATGCAAGCGATTTCAATAGCTACCTTGACTTGTCAGTGAATAACGCACCAATCCTAATGATACATTTAGGCAGATACAAGTAAGTGTGCCTCTATGAAGGTGATCAAAATTAGGAATGTTCAACCTTGGAGGAGGTCTGCACCCTGCCAAGTGACATTCAAGTTACGGAGGCAGTAGTAGTTAGAGATGCAAAGCTCAATGTCAAAACAGAGAAGTACAAAGGGGTGTTTTCACTCCCTCATAAAGTATTTATGTGCTCCCAGGAATTGATTATAGACGCCTCACCTTGTCCATAGACTTGATGTTAATCTGGGACAAAACATTTGAAGCTCCTTGGACAAAAAATACAAAAAAAACAGGTTAAATAACCGTCTTCTCTTTTCTTGGGCGGGGAGATTTCAGATCATTCCAGCCAGCCAAGGGGGGAGAAAGAGTCCCACTGATCCCAGTATACACACAAGTACAAACATCCAGAGGAATATTCTGTCGATAACCATGGCGACGTACTTCCAGTCCTCTTTCACCTAATGGACAGGGGAAACAGCAAAAAGGGGCATTGAACACTTATTCCAAGACACCAACATCGTGTTAGTCAGCTGTCAGTTTTCACCCTTGAGTGATTTCTCACGGGTGGATGATTTTTTTCATGAGGATGACTAGCCCCTAAATGTCATTCAATCGTGTCCTCCCTTGAAAAATTCAAGGTTGAATTGCTGAGGTCCACTTATTTCAATGATGGACTTTTACTGTGAGAGTGACTCAAATTGTTTTCTTCTTAATTTTTTTTAAACTGTAGACCATGTAGATATTTTGATCGAGCCAAGAACCCAAGGTTGTGATTTTTTTGTCTGTTTCTGCAGCCTGCTAGCCAATGTGCTTAATGCCATAAAATAACATGGCAATAATTTATGAAGATCCACACTGAAAATATACAGTTTAAATAAGAATTCAATTGTTATGTTAGGAGATAAAACTTCTATTTCCACAAAGAAAAAAAAAATCAACATTTCCGAAATATATTAGCATTTTTTTCGTCATTACATGTTAATACTAAGAACTGAATTCTGAAATCATACAAGGTAATTGCAAATGTTGCACACTCCCTCGAGCAATGTGCCATATATTAAGCATGCAGATAATCTATCTAGCTAGCTAGCTAGCTATCCAGCTACCTACCCACCCACCGATCTATCTATCTATCTGTAATTGTATTTAGAATTTCTGGACCTATGTTTTTCTCATAAATGTATGTATACACAAGCACATTACAATGTTCTGATGATAGTGTCGCACATTGACACAAAGTCAACGATACTGTTAGTTAGCCCGTATATGGCCTTTTGCATTGTTTGTTAGCATTAAGCTAAACCTGGAAAAGAGCAGAACATGTCAACGTTAGGTATTAATCTATATTAATCCTTAGCTTTTATTTTCAAATTATGAAAAATATAGGAATAAAATGAAAGAGATCAAAATTGGTATGGTGTGAAAAAAATGGAACAACTACAGGGAAACTAAAAAAAAATAAAAAAATTGGGGGGGACTTTTATTTTGAAATTTTGAAAAAAAATGTTTGTGTGGGATGAGATGAGCATCAATTTGAATCGGGGAAAATACAAATAATAGGAAGAAATTTGAGGGAAAAACAAAATAATTTCACTTTTTTTTAGCTTGTATTTTCATTTGGAACTAATAGGGATTTTTGTGGGGATTTTAGTAGTGAATATGTTGAATATTTGCTAAATTGCAATTTTGGTGATGTTTTAAATCATTGCCAAGGTGGTATTGAAGGAGCTGAACATTTAAAATTTAGAAGTGGGAAGGGGAACAACGTAAATCTGTTTTGTTGAATGTGTGGTGGAGAATAATTTGGGAATTTTTGTGGGGATTTTACTGGGGAAAATGTTAATTTATGGGACATCAGGTTTGTTAGGTGAATTTGAGTCAGTTTAAATGTTTTATTACTCTTGTAACAGTTGAACTGTGCTGTAACGAGAGCTTCAGATTTAGTTTTGATACTTTCAAAAAAGTACCACCTTACTTTTTTAACATTTCCATCAACTCACTGAGAAGTCGTCGTCCTCTGCCCTGAGATGATCAGCTATGTATTGAACCCCCTCAATGGCTCGTTGCATAGCAGGAGACAAGCGATGGATCACAGCTTCTTGTTGGCTTCTTGGGTCTTTAGCAGGCTCTGCTTTGATGGTATCTGTAAGGCAGTTTGTCGAGACTCGTTGTTTTGTTTGGTCTGCAGTCCCAGTCCATTTCTCCGGCCAGTCGTTGTGCAGGCAGCAGGACTGATAGCCGCCCGAGTGACACCGTCGTGCAGCTCTCTGGGGAAGCTCCCTCTGCAGGTCACACATTTGCTCCACGCTGAGCGAGCGGCCATTTAAGAACAATTTATTCACGTCTTCGTTGGAAAGGTTGCGAAGGGGCCCGAGAGGCAAAGTTGGGGGTAAGGAAAGTTGAGAAGAAGACAAAATGGAGGAGTTTTGTCCTCGTTGCAGACCTGAATACTGTTTAGTGGGTGACTGGTAGAAAATATTGGCCTTAACCGGGGGATCTTCCTGGTTGACTTCCTTGAGAGGGGTGGAGGATGGAGACGGGGAGCAGACGCGGATGTTTGGGCTGTCGAGTGGAGTTTTTGGGAGGCTTTTCTCGTCCTGCATTGTTTGGGTCAGCCCTGTTTCTAAACCCATCCAAAAGGTCTGGGAGTTGCCCGTTGCTGATATTATGGTTGGGCGGTGCATCATTTCAATCAACTTCTTGCAGTGTTGCTTGGCCGTGCCGGGTGGCCGCTTCATGAAAAGGACCCGGGGCACCATGTCCAAAAAGACCCTTCGCACCCAATGAGGCATTCCGTGGGTTTGAGGTGATCGGTGGTGGACGTTCAAAACAAAGACTGTAATTATAATTGAAAGTGTGACAAAGACCATGGTGAACAGCAGGTATTCGCCAATGAGTGGAATCACCAAGGATGTGGACGGTATTATCTCTGTGATCAACAGCAGGAACACGGTTAGGGACAATAAAACGGAAATACACAAGGTGATCTTCTCTCCGCATTGGGACGGTAAATAAAACACCAGCACAGTCAAACAGGAGATAAGGAGACAGGGAATGATAAGATTAATGGTGTAGAACAACGGGAGCCTTCGGATGATGAAGTAGTACGTGATGTCTGCGTAGATCTCAGTGCAGCACTCGTACTTTTTGGTGTTGTACTTGCCCACGGCATTCATAATAACCCACTCGCCGCTCTCCCAGTAGTCCATCTGATCCACGTCGCTGGCCATGCTGATAAGGTCGATCTTGGCTCGGTCGTAGGTCCAGGAGCCAAACTTCATCTTGCAACTTTGTTGGTCAAAGGGGAAAAAGGTGACGTCGATGCTGCACGAAGACTTGTAGATGGCTGGTGGCATCCACTTGATCCGTCCGTCGTGGAATAGATGCGCCTTGGTTAGGTGGGTGACTGCAAAGTCACCATCAGCACTGCAGATCAGTAACGGGTATGAATGAAAGAGCAGTGATTCCCAACAAATGTCACGTGCCACGAGAGCTCATCGGGTGTGCCTTGGGATTTTTTTTTCCCTGTTTCATTTTCATGTTTTACTACAGTACAACACAAGTAAACCCTCATCTACGAGATGGCGGAAGCTACAATTAACGTGCATGTGGATCCACCTGTTGTTCTTCATAAAATAGAATGAGAGCTCGCTTATGTAAAGTGCCACGAGAGGATTTTTTTTCCCCCCCGTTTCATTTTCATGTTTTACTACAGTACAACACAACAAGTAAACTCTCTTCCACCAGATGGCGGAAGCAACAATTAACCTGTGTATCCACCCGCTGCCCTCCATACAACAGAATGAGAGCTAGCTTAGCGTTCAACTTAGCGTTTACCTAAACAGGCCCTGCAGCTTTCAAACTGAGTAAGAAAATGTCGAAATATCATCATTTTAGTTCGGGCCCGACCAATCTGATTCCGGTTTACCTTTGCAACAGACAGGAAGTAAAAATAAATAAATAAATAAATAAAACACGCAAACAAACATGAACTGATCAATTTAGATTGATATTTAGGCCATAAATGTGTGCAAATTGGAACATAATGAGGAAAGTTAGTGGCAAAACATGATTTATCAAAACACCTCTTCTTTGACAGAGTTGCATTTGAAATATTTGATGTACAATGGGAACCAATTTTTACACGAATAATTTTTACACTCAGCTTGAAAATAACCCTTATCAGCACATTGTGGATATACTTTCAAACATTGCATGTCAACCGTCATATGAGAGGACTAAGGATGACGTAATACACACAGAATAACGTTCGTCAGCCATGTCCTTGACTTCTTGCCCATACCTACTGAACAGTATTTACTGTTTAATGAAAATGTTCAATCATATTACAGTTCAAATGGCAAAACCCCAGTTGATTATTATCATTTTGAAAAGGCCTAATTTCGGCTGATATAATTGACCGGCTGATTGATCGGTCAGGCCCTAATTTGAGTAAATGTACTTTTTGGGAACATTATTGTTTAACAATGACGTTGTCTCATGCAACATTTTCTTCCCTGGACCCAGTGAAAAATAATCATGAAGTCACCAACTGATCGGACAGCGTTTGGGAGGTGTTTGCGACTGAGATGACTTTTTTAATTAAACGGTCTCGCTCCACTACTTTGCTGTGCACCAGAGTTCAGAATCAAATATATCATAACAAAAACTGTATTTCGACTGTGAGCGCAGCCCATAAATAGAAATTACGATGTCTAAAAGTTTTACAGCAAGGATATGACCCCATGCCTTCCCCTTTTCTTTTCTTCTGCCGAAAGGCAATCACATCCATGCATCTCTACAACATCTCAGCACAATACAATAAATTACCTCCTTCCAGGGCTCCGTTATTTCATGCAAATCAATTTATATGTAAAAAAAAAAAAAAAAAAATGGGCATCAGGTGCGGTCATAATTTCAGTGTCATATGCTTTTTAAATGATGGCCACCTGTGTGATGTTGGCCCTTTGTCTCGTCTTATTAGTTTCATAGCCGATAGGCCATTTAATCAGAAGACAGCGCAGTACACTCACTTTTGAATGACAAATCGATTTGGTAATTGTATTGCTCATATCATGTCATGTCTAATAAATTTCATTGTTATATTGGTCATTTAGAATTCCCTTCACTCATAATAAGAGACACATTGGATGCATTTATATCGGAGGCTCTTTGAAACGCCTTTAATTACATTTTATCTCCTAGTTCTTCAGCCTAATATGCATTAGGCTTGCTTTGTGCGATGTACCAAGTTTGTTTATGGCCATTCCCATTAAGGATGACCTTGTTCACAACCAAAGTACTTGATGACGTTGGCACAGGACAAGAGTGTTGGCACAGCGGCAGGATCTTCTTGTTTTCTTCCAGTAACGCCTTCTATTGGAATTGAATCAGCAAATTTTGCAAATTAATGCTGATGTGATTACACTTGCGTCAAGGAGGGCAGCGTTGGTGCATGAATCACTTTGTGTGACTGCATCAAAGTAATGTTTGGTGATATTCTACCGAAGGATGGCTGTGATAAATTGATTTATATAGTCATGATGGTTGTGAACTTTGCCACTTTTGTTGTAATGGTTGATCTAAGGTTTGTAATCATGAGGTTGTGTTGTGAAGGGAACGAATGGAGTTGCAATGGATTTTAGAGGAGCAAGCAAAGAATGCAAAATGTCTGATAAAAATGTTGGTTGTGGTTGAAATTATACATTTTTTGTTTGGCTTCTAAATAGAAAAGTGAGGGAAACCATAGAATAAAGTTTTCTCCTTACTTAGATGGTTCCGTCCCTACATTGGTAGGCAGGTGCCGGGGCGCGCCATGTAAAAATGGATGCATCTCCATATTTGTGCTGGGGCAAGTCTAGTTTAGCATGTTTGTGACAGAGGCGTTAGGTGTTCCGGGTGATGCAGCTGCCGCACATACGGACGCCATGGGTGCAAGGCGGTCTCCGATTGCCCACATGAAACACACGGCCGACTACATCATTCGCAAGGGGAGATCTTGCAGTTTACCTTCCAATGTCATGGACGTACCCCAACGGGTCTACTTCTGCTTTTGCAATGTCAAGCACTGCTGATTTTAATGCAACTGAGGGGAGCCGTTACAATTGGAGTCAGTCAACGGGAGTCAACTATATCCCATCCCACAATGGCACACCGCATCTGTGCAAAACCTAGGAAAATACCAAAAGTGTGATAGACTCGCGCTGGGCACAAAATAGGGCTTCTTAAGGTTTACATTTTATACAATCTATCCATCCATCCATTTTCGGATCCTCTTTACCCTCACAAGGTTCGCGGAGCATGCTGGAGCCTATCCCAGCAGTCTTCGGGCAGTAGGCGGGGGACACCCTGAACTGCTTGCCAGCCAATCGCAGGGCACACACAGACGAACAACCATCCGCGCTCACACTCACACCTAGGGAAAATTTAGAGTGTTCAATCGGTCAATGTTTTTGGAATGTTGGAGAAAACCGGAGTACCCAGAGAAAACCCACGCAGGCACGGGGAGAACATGCAAACTCCACACAGGGAGGCCGGAGCTGGAATCGAACCCGGTACCTCTGCACTGTGAGGTCGACGCACTAACACTGGACCACAATCTAGCTGAATGAAATTTCTTCTTGGAATAAGACTTGTAAAACTATCAAATGGATTCATTCACAATTCCTCCACAATTAAAAAAAAAAAAAAAAATCAATTCTTTTGACCAAATATCGGTAAGGAAAATTAGGACCCTTCTGAAAAACAGCTCAATTACAAAAAAAAAAAAAAAGCGTTGAGTTAATGGGATACATTTGAAAGTTTATCACAAAAAACTATGTTCACAGTCAAGTAATATTTTTAGTTTGGCAGGTCCCGAATGTCACAATTGTTCCCATTCACATGAACCTAGCCACAGCAGCCCCTATATTTTTCTCTCGAGATTCATCAAATAATAATTGGTTCATCTTATTTTTGGCTACAACAACTCCCCAAAAAGAGTTGTTTTGAGTGTGTGTAGTTCTTTCTCAGGCTCAGACAGGTTAACAGTTCACATGATAACAAACTGCCCGTAGCTGATGATGTTGTGGATGTGCCAACAATTTGCTCATCGTACTCCTTTGTTGGAAATATTTTCAAAAGGTCACGCCAAATTGTAACATCAATGTATGCTATTGGAGGAGACCCTTACTTGTTGTAAAGGACGATGTCGGGCCTCCAAATGATCTCTGAGGGAATACGGATGGAGGTAACGTTCTCGTATTCCTCCGGGTTCCAGCGCAGCTTGTAATCGTTCCATTCCTGGAGGACAACGTTCAACATGGAGTGGTTACAACAGTGCCATTCCGCATCGGATTCATTCTAGCGGTTTTTATCTCCTGTCATTTACGTACTTGCTTGACCCAGACATTCGTAGTCATCATCTGGTTCTTCTCATCCTTGGTTGGTGGAAACAGAAAACAAATTCTTTTCAAACAGTTTGGATGGTTGTCTGGAAGTTATTATTAATACAGTATTGTACAAATTTGCTCAAAAACATCTGTGTCCTGTTAATTCCTCTACTTGCCCCACGGGGATAAATAAAGTTTTCTGAATCTGAATCTGAATGATACTTTTACTCAGTAAGAACATATGAAACAAGGCACCCAAATTTACGAGAATACTGTGCTGGAGAAAAGAAAATAATGCCTGGAGGCAATGTTTGCCACGCTCCTTCCAGCCCTGAAATATTCTATAGGAGAAGACAACTTGGCCAAGAGTTGCCTCATACTCTCAGGCATGTGAGACGAGCGCTCTCTATAAGTGTGAGTAAAAACAATCCTCACGGTCATGCAGGATTTGCATTTTCAATCATCCGAGCCCCCTGTAGAAAAAAAAAAAAATGCATGTTCCCGACACCAAACGTCAGGTTTTCCCTGAGTCAATAGAATTCCTCGAACAGGGTTTATGTAAAATATTCTCCACAGGGCCTGCAAATGCTATACATATGCGATAGGAAAACAAACCCACAAACAAGACATTGGGCCCTATTTTCATTCCCAGCCCAAGTCGAGCACAAAGAGCAGTCGAACTGTGTGCATTTGTGGAGTTTTCTTTTGGTATTTTGCTAGACCAGTAGAATTGGGCGTAAAGCGGAATTTGCACCGTTGTGTGCCATCGTGAATGGAGTCTTATCCTGGCAAATTGTGGCGACATCTCTCACTTGCATTAAAATCAGGCCTGTCAGAGCACAGTACATGCAAGTACGCCGTGTTTGACATTGAAGAAACAGAAATAAACTTGCTGGTGTCTGTGCATGACATTGGCAGGTAAACCGCAAGCCCTCCCCTTGCGGATGATGTGCAGGTGACTGGTGACTGCCTTGGACCTGCATGTGTGTGACCCCCGACCCCAATAAACAGGGGTCCTATGAAAATATTTTGAAAATGGTACTAGTAATGATTTTAATTTGTTCAATGAATTGATTTTTTTACAATAATTTGGAGAGATTTTCCCACACCGTTGTCATGCTTATGAATTACATCCACTGACTTGCACTGTTAACCTATGCCTTGATCAAAATACACCTTTATGCTTTTTGCCACCTGCGCTGCACAATACATCTCCTTTTAGCAGGTCTCCACTTTTTTCACCCAAATTTGACAAGCACTGGGGGGTCCAGTGAGGCGAAGCATATGTACCAAATTCACAAACACGCGGAACCAGACCATTGTCCCGGCACGAAAATACAAACTACTTGCTGTTACGAAATTGTTGGATGAGTCAAGGGTAACGCCATGCGGCAGAAAGCTCACAGCCGCAACGTGGCCCCAAACATGCTGGACTTGACTTATTTTGGCACTAAAATGAAGTTCCAACCATTTATACACTGAAATGCCAGCACGCCAGTCCACGAAAATAGTTCCCACTGTGTTTGAAAGTAGTGAAGATCTTACTCACCACATCTATAAGCTGAGCAATAGAAAGACCAAAGTGGACCAACACTGTGTCTGATGAGTTTTCCACAGGCCTGGAGAGCTTGTTGTAACGCACAAACAGATCCTGCAGCAATTTCTCCTCAGCGTGAGCCCGAGGACCAGCATAGCAGTACACTGGAGGTGATGATAAGAAATTACCAAACTGTTGATCTGAATGCTCTCCTCAAACATTTTAATATCCCTTTCCATCCATCCGTACATCTACGATAGAATTTTGGATAACAGTCCCAGTCACAATTACTGCACAATTTACAGTATGTGAAAGTGAATTGTCAGTGGTTGTTTGTTTGTATCTGCCCTGTGATTGCCTGCCGATTGGTCCAGAGTCAGCTGGGATAAGCTCCAGCTCACTCAGAACCCTCATGGGGGCTCAGCGCTATAGAAAATGGATGGATGGAAAGTTGCTGTTATCACACATTGCAACTTTACACAATTATGGGCGGTTTTAATTGCATGCATTTTGATCAGCTTGTTTTTGTGTGCTAAACATTAATATTTCATTTGCAATTCACTACCTGTCTGGATTGGATTTAGTTATTTATTTTTTTGGCAATAATGAGAACACGTTTGTAGTGCTGAAAACAGAAGGCGACCTGCGCTAGACCCAGCTGGCGTCATGGTTACACGAGACAGTGGGGAAAAGCGAAAGGAAGGATGAATGTGGATCAGAGGACATGTTGTGCCTGCAAACCGTTTCGTCACCCCACCCTCACACAAAACTCCCACCTGTGCACCGGTGTCCCTTTGCTACCCATCTAATGGAACACCTCCCCCCTCCGCCCCCACTCCTTTAAAACCACCTCACATTACACAGAAGATGACCTCGCCACGTCCCAGAACAATTAGAGACTTGTCCCGAGGCTTGCACAATGCTTTGCCAATCTGTATACGTAGTGAATTTTTTTTTTCCCTACAGTGAGTCGGGGCTTTATTCTATTTGAGCCATTCATCATCATTGAGTGATTCATATGAGTGACTTCAATTACTACACTGGTACTGCTGCATTATTAAGTATGTTTTATGTGGTAGATTCATCCATCACTCCATCTATCAGTTTACCGCACTGTACTGTATTTATCTTTTGGAAGTGGACTGAAACAGCCTTCAGGAGTCTGTTTGACCTTGTCAATTCTTTTATTCTCTTATGGTGGGGATGAAAGTATTTAGTGGCTGGGGTTAATTTTTATTTTTATTTTTTTTGCCCATCGGTACAGGTAACTTATATACATCGTACAGATATTACTCGGAAAATGTTTTCAATTGTGAAAGAAGCCCCATATTATGTTTGCTGTAAGGCACATCCGTCTGCATTACGGCGCTACAACCAGAAGAGGCGCTGTTGAGACACAGATGTTGGCGTTGTCCTCCTTCACATTCAATCAAAGCTGATGTGTTGTCCTTTACTCGCTTGCAAAACGGCATCCCAGGATCAATATCTGCCCACATATCGTCATGCTTTTTTTTTTTTTTTTTTTTAAATGCCGGATTCCGTGTGCAGGTACCCATTAAGCAAACGGCAACAAAGCATAGTAGCCTACACATTGACCTTTGTTTCATTATCCGTTACGTTCATCTAATGCATCTGATATTAAATCGAAGCATGCGCAAAAGCTGTATAATAGCCAGCGAGGTAACTATGTGTGAGCCAGCGCAATGGTGTGTTGTAAAAGGTAGTAAATGTTTCATGATGGAATACTTGGCCTTGCAGACACTTTTCATTTCATTTCATGGCCACACCGAGGGTGATTTCTTTCATTTGATGGAGACAACCTGGGCAAAGTGTATTTATGCTCTCCCCCAGACTCAAATAAAAAGATACAATAAAGTGTTCTAATGAGGCATCGGCATCAAATGATTTGTCAATTTTTGATCTTCGAGATGATGTCAATCTATCACTTACAGCAACAAGATTGTGCTGTGTCGTTGCTACATCGGAATGTAGCATAGGCTAGCACGAAACTATGCTAAGTGGTAAAGTCATAATTATCATAAATATTTGCATGAAAAACATTTCCAGGCTGCATAAAATCTGAAATTGAAATCAAGGATAACAAAAGACAGGACTTAAATATCTTAAATAGAGAGCTCTTTAAGCCATAGTAGATATAATGGTGGCCATTATATCTGACAAACAAGATAAATTTAGATGCGGAAGAAGCAGTGGTTAACTTATTTTTACACTTTTATGATGGTTGGCAATCGAAAGTTGGAATGATACTGACTCTGTATGTTATTTTATTTCCTGAAAGATAAGTTGAAATGTTATATCCATAATGCAAATGTTTTTTTAAAGCAAGCATGAAAAATTTGTAAATAACAGATCGAGTTTTTCCACTTTAAATAAGGTACCATTGATTTAATCGGTGCTATGACGCCAAACTGGTGCGTGGAGGTTAGTTAGCTGATTGTTTTTTCGGCACTACTGGACCCGATTCTGTCCTCATTTGATCAATGGACTCTCTGAGGCCAATAGTGCATCATCAGCAGCAAATATCTGCAAGCAGTGTTTGCGCTCCGTCACAAGGGAATGCTTTTTAGCAGGTCACCAAAGAAACAGAGGTAGTTATCATCATCCAATGGAAACTCGAGAAAATTATGCCCTTTCTTTTTTTTTAATTCTTGTTGATTACACCATGTCCAAAAGCAATTCAGAATAAAATGAGGGTGTGTTCTTTTTTTTTTTTTGGTATTATCAACCACAAAAAAACCCTGTTACTAAAAATCCCATGCCACAACCTCAGAATACTGCATTAATATGATATTTACAGAAGCATAACGCACTCTTCTCAATTAGTACACACCTCCATCCAACCTGCTTGGTGCTATGGGATTAATTCCCCTTTTTTATACAGCATTTTAATTTCATTTTAAAATGACTTCATAACATTTTCAACGTGATTGAAAGTTTGAAAAGGATAGAGGAGACATGCCTCGGAAACACATAGCAAATATCGAGATCTTATCTCACGGTAGTATTTGATCAATCAAAATTACCTTGTGTGCCGAGAGTGAGCCAAAGTAAGCTGAAACATTTGTTTACACCCATGGCGCTCCTCAAGCCGCAGGACGTCGCCATAGAAACAGTGTGGTCTTGCTTCAGATGATCTTATTAAAGAGGCAAAATGTTGAATGAGTCAATGTCAGCCTGGTGCCACTCCCCGCCTCATCCATCTGTCCTTCCCTGTCACTCGGCTGTCCACTTTGAGTTGAGACAGAGGGACACCTGCCTGGATTCGACTACGAGCGGGCGCCTCCTCGCTCTGGTGGAATCCTCGGATCACAGGAGTTTGCTTCCCTGCTCCTCTACATGCATGACTCCCTCAATCTGACTCTCGTCTCTCAGCCTCCTCCCCTCCTTCTCTCTCTCTCTCTTTCGCTCTCCCTCACTTGAGCCC